ATATATGCTATGTGTGGTGGTGCACTCCTATAATGGGGGAAAAAAAAACAAAAGAAAAAAAAAAGGTCACAGACATCAACTGTATCTCACTAGATTATTGTCTCTCTTTCTTTCTTATTGTCTCTTTGTAAGGCGGCGATATGATTTCCAGAATCCATCCCGCATGGACCGCAACGTGGAAATGTTCATGACCATTGAGAAGTCCTTGGTACAGGTAATAGATGGGAACCTCCATTTCCCTGCCCTCGGGGAGAATTCAGAACACTTCTACCCATGACCTCATTACCATCTGTTTCCTCTCCCGCAGAATAATTGCCTGTCTCGACCTAACATTTTTCTATGTCCAGATATTGAACCCAAACTGCTAGGGAAATTAAAGGACATTGTCAAGAGGCACCAGGTGAGTGTCAGGTCAGGAGATATTTCAGAACTCCATGACGTTCCCCAAAGTTTTCCATACCAGAAAGTGGCCCTGAAGTACTGTGTTTTTTTAGGTTTTTTGGGGGGTTGGTTTTTGTTTGGTTTGGTTTGGTTTTGGTTTTGGTTTTGGTTTTTGAGACAGTCGCACCAGGTAGTTTAGGCTGGCCTTGAACTCACTATGTAGCCCAAGCTGTCCTCGAACTTAGGTGAGGTAATCTTCCTGCCTCAGCCTCCTGAGTGTCGGGACTGTAGGTGTGCGTCACCATGTCTGGTTTGAAGTAGCATGTTTTCTACTGCATAGATGGCTTTCTTTTACTTGGCAAAGTCAAAACTTAAAACCTTGAACTGGGCCCAGTGTTGCAAATCCATAGTCCCAGCAGCTTGGGAAGCTGAGACAGGAGGATCACAACTTTGAAGCCAGCATAGACAACTTAGCAAGACTCTATCTCAAAATTAAAAAGAGCTAGAGATGTAGTTCATTGGGAGGCCCTGGGTTCAGTCTCCAGTAATGGAAAAAAGAAAAAATAAGCCTTGAGCTTTTCTTTTCTTCGCCACTTCTCCCATTTCCCAGGGCCGGCAGGGACTGGATTATTGTTCCCAGAGACTACACTGGGCTGGGGAAAAAGCACCCACTTCCACTGAGCTAGAAGTCACCTGACTTCAGATAAATGAAACTCTTGCTCTTTGGAACTTTATAAGCAGCAAATGAAATTGATAGACACATACTGCCAGTTTTAAGTTTCCCATGTGTAGATACTCTGTCCCGTGGGTTATCTGTAGCGATGTTTAATTCTTTTTCCTCCATTATTAGCACAATTCCAGGTTTTTTCTCAGCCACTCAGCTGATGTGCTGAGAGGATGTAGACTGACTTCCAAGCAGAAGGTCATGAGGCAGGCAGATGTGTAGTTTCGTCTTCTTGTGATTTATTTATGCTCAAGAGTAATTCAGAGGAGGCTGCGTTTACCTGGTTCTCCTTGTGCCCTCCAGGGAACAGTCACTGAAGATAAGAGCAATGCTTCCCATGTTGTGTATCCTGTCCCAGGAAACCTAGAAGAAGGTGAGAGCGTTTTCTGGCCACGCACGGGTGGCTCGGACTAGGAGGTGGAGGACTGCTGTCGTCGCTGGGCAGCGCCTGGGTTCCTCTCTCCTTTCCACCCTGAACTCTCTTGTCTTGAGTTCTTATTCCAACTTCTCTGCTGCAAAAGCAGAGAGCCTGCTTAGGAGTTTTGTCAGCTATTCTTTTTGTGATCCCTCTTAGCTTATCTCTCTCTTCTCTGTCTCTATCCCCAGAGGAGTGGGTCCGACCAGTCATGAAGAGAGATAAGCAGGTTCTTCTGCACTGGGGCTACTATCCTGACAGGTAAGGTTGAGTTCTCCACCGAGAGAACTTGGTCCTGATCAGCCTGGAGGGCTGCATACCTTTGGCAGCCCCTTTAAACTGGATAAAAAGGGAATGATGATTGATGAAGCAGGTGAATTTGTGGCTGGACCTCAAAATAAACATGAACGACCTGGAGAACCAAATATGCAAGGGATCCCCAAAACACGTTGGTGTATGTCTCCGCTGCTGCGAGGCAGACAGCAGAGCCCTGTTGTAAACAATCATAGTGAAGGAAAAAGACCCCC